CCGTTACCTCTCTGCCCGCCCACAGCACTGAGCTCAGCTTCCTGGGAATGTGTGGATGCACAATGAAGTGCTCTGGGGTTCCCTTTTGTTCAAGCCTATCCATAGATTGCTGCATTCCACACAGCCGAATGCCTTGAAGCACAAGTCTTTCTGGTATTCTTTGTTCCAGCCAACATCCAGTTGACATTGTTCCATGTCCTCATCTGAATCTGGCCTGAGCTCTGGCAGCTCCCTGTCAACGTATTCGTGAAACTGACGTTGGATGATGTTCGGCAACATTTTACTTGCATGTGATCTCCGTGATGCTGTTCTGTGATTTGCACATTTTGTTGGCTGACCTTTCTCTGCAGTGGGTACAGATAGGGCTCCCTTCCAGCTGGTGGGCTAGTAGCTCTCTTCCAAGATTCCGGGCACAGACAGGTGAGTGCTTCCAGTGCTTCTTCAGCCGTGCTGAGGGCGGACATGTGGAAACATTTCAGTGGGCATCCCACCAATTCCAGGAGCCTTGTTTTTTGGCTGACGCTTATTTCAGCGCAGCTTGAACTTCTTGCTTCAGTTCCATTGCTCTTTGCTCACGTGCTGCCTCCTGAAATGGTGGGGTGTCGACTCATTCTTTTGGGTACAGTGACTCTGTGTATTCTTTCCCTCTTCTTTGATGATTCTTGCATCCTTCAATATTTCGCCCATGGGAATCCTTCAACATTGCAGCTCGAGGCTTGAATTTTAACTTGGGTTCTCTCCGTGTAAAGGACTTTTTGCTTCTCTGGCTCTGGGTCTTTGTGCATTTCACACTGATACGTCACTTTTGAATTGTTCTGTTCCGCCCTTTGACTGCATCCTTTCCCCCAGGTGCTTGAGCTACGTCTATGAGGAAGAGCAAGTCTCAGCATCTCCTCTGATCTTGTCTTTCCTTCCGGACTTTGGATGGCCTTTTGCTTTTCTCCGTGAAGGGGTCCCTCTTGCCCATGTCATTATATGTCACTTTGTGTCCTTGAACTGCCCTTGGACATTCTCCACTGAAACCTGTCCCCTCTTGGTGACCCTGCTGGCCTCTGAAACACCAGGGAGAAAGGTTCCAGTCACACACGAGCCACCACAGGAGGACAAACTGACAGACAGGTGGATGGACAGAGACAGAGACGCAGAACTTGTTTACCCCCCTGACCTGGGAGCCCATCTCCCTGTCCTGCCTCCGGGGTCTGTGTGTCTGTCTTGTACCCAGACCTCTGTGCTCGCTGCCCGTCACTGGGGAAGACAAGGAAGGCACTGGGGTTGCAGTGCCAACTGAGAGGTGGGGGATGTGAGCCCACTGGGATCTCTTTTCCATCCTGACACTGCGCCTGCGTGTTCTCCAAAGGTAGCGAGAGCCACCTTGAAGAAGTTCATTGGGAAACACTCCCCAACCCACCTGTCCCCACCCCTTCAGGCTCCTGGCTCCGAAAACTCAAAGAACACCTCAGAGGAACCCAGTCGGAGTCCCGGGAGGATGTGGTGCCCATGGGAGCACAGATTCTTCAGGGAAGGGTTAGCTCGAAGGAAACACTGCCTTGAGGGGTGTGTAGACCTTGATGGAGGATAGGCTGAGAAACAGTAGCTCCTCATCTGGACAGTGTTGTGTAATGAAGGTTTGTGTAGCACTGCTGTTTGACCGATGTGTGTGTGTGTGTGTTACAGGGATATAATGAGTGTGCTACACAGCACACCCTGTTCGAGTGAACGGTAAAGTGACTCTCAGCATATTGCTGTACCACCGTCACCACTGTCAATTCCAGACCCTCTTCATCAGCCCCGAGAAACCCTTCCCCCCTTTGTAACGGATCCCCATCACCCTCCCATCCCCCCAGCCCTGAGTAGCCTCTGTCCTATGTTCCACCTCCATCAAGCTGCCCACCCTCTCCACTCCCCATAAATGGTGACACGTCTGCTTTGGGGCTGACCCTCCCCCTCCTCCCCCGGGTCCTCCTGGGCATCCGTGATCTCTGCCCTTGGTCATTCTGCCTACTCCCACGGCGCCGTCCTAGGCCGCTTTCTGCGTGGACCTGTGTTCACTTTGCTGGGGCATAGACCTAGGAGCAGGTCATAGGGCATGTTTGCCTTTCTATGTGTAGCGGTGCAAGAGCAGGTAACGTACAGCATTTGCCGAGACGCCATCTTCATCCGTGTTGAACCTTCGGAGGAAAGGAAGGCCGGTTTCCCAGAGTGGCCGACACGCTTCTGTCTTCCCTCCAGTCACGTGCGGGGGGAGGGTTCCCGCGTGTCCGCACCCTCGCCAGCACGTGTTACGGTGCACCTTTCTGAACACTGCCTGTCAAGTCTGTGACGTAGCCGGAGAAGCCCAGCCCCCACCAACTGAGGGCTGAGAAAGCGGGTCCTGAGGTCCACACTGGGACAGAGTGGTGTCAGAAGTCGGCATGCTGGGAACGAGGGGGGTGGGGAGTCTATGCTGGCCCACAGCATCCTTTCCCAGGCCCGGCTCCCGGCTCCCAAGGGTGTCGGCTGGGGACCGGCAGTGCCTGCATCCACGCCCAGGTTCCATGTGCTGGTAGCACAGGCTGTCGATGCTGCTGTGACCGCTAGGTGCCATGGTGTAGGTTCCGGCCCATGGTGACCCTACTACGCATGAGAAGGAAACACTGCCCTGCCTTCGCCGTCCTCCCAACTGACCCCGTCCTGGAGCCGGTCCATCTCCAGGAGGACCTCCTCTTTCTCACGCGACCAGGCAGAGCCTCCTTTTCCAGCGCCTGGTCTCTCCTGACATGCGTCCAAAGTACGTGAGAGGAAGTCCTGCCATCTTTGCCTCTTCGGAGCATGCTGGCTGGGCTTCTTCCGAGGGGACGTGTTGGTCCTTCTGGCCGCCCACAGAGCTGTCTGCGTCCTTCATAACCCCAATGCTTCTCCTCGGTCTCCCTTATTCAGTGTCCAACTTCCACATGCACAGGAGGCCAGATTTGCATCATTGTGTGACTGTCCCTCGGGTCGCATCTGTTACGGCAGTGACCTTGGCAGCAGCCCCTTCATGTCCACGTCTCTCTGTCCATCACAGGCACTCGTCGGTGGACATCAGGAAGCAGGCCACTCTCCCACCAAACTTCGGGCAGAGCCACCGGCAGAGCATAAGCACCTCGGGCTTCCCGTCTCTTCAGCTCGTAAGTACGAGCAAGTGTGCGTCCCCCGCGGCCCAGACAGGAGGCCCAGCCTGGGCTGCGGGCCTGACTCAGCCTGTGTCTCCCACGGTCATCTTCCACTCTGCGTCGCTGCCCACTCCCTTCACCACTGAGCCGGCCATCCTGGGGCTGTGGATCTGATGCCTGGGGCCCAGTGGGCTTCTGGGAAAAGCCCCCAAACAAACTAGCTGCCACCCAGTCCACTCTGACCCCTGGAACCCCCGGTGTGTCAGGGTCTTAAATGGCCCGTTTGGGGAAGGAGGTGGCCAGGCCTTTCTTGCGTGCCACCTCCGGGGGTAACTGGAGCCTGCAGCCTTTTGGAGTGCAGCTGGCTGTGCGAGGGGCTCCTCACTGCTTCATCTCACCACACCAGGGGTCTTTTCCTGGGGGGTGGCCAAGGGAAACTGATGACCATTCATAGCATGCTTTTCATGCCAGAACCTATGGCTTTTTTCTTTGGTTTAAAAAATTGTTTTATTGACATATAAGTCACATACCACACAATTCAATAGTTCAATCATATTGAAACTACCTCATACGATCATCATTGTAATCAATTATATAAGTTTTTTTTTTCCTTCTTATACTCTTTATTAGCTTCCCATGGCCCCCAACCTTCCCTGCCACCCCACCCCCCCCAAGAGGTCATTCATTAAGTTACTGTCTCTAGAGATTTACCTAGCCTGGATTTCATATAGAGAAAGACATGCAACCCCCTCCCTCCCCCCCTCCCAAAACCCAGCAAAACAACACACAGAAGCAAAGAAGAACTTCAATAAAAAAGAAAGCAGAGAATGTTACAGACTAGAACACATTTTAAATGGGTCAAAGGGAGCTCAAGGGAAGGTGTTACATTGTAGCCTGACTGCATCTGCTTCCCACTGTGCTGGGCTTGCTCCCAGGTCAGCGGGGAGTCACTGATAGCTTAGTCCATGTGCATTTCCCTTTCCCTGTTTTTGGTAACTGAAACAACTTTGAAATGGGTTTAAAAGGGGTTACATTTTAGCCTTACCATGCTCTGTTTGATAACAAGGTTACTCACATCCCTCTGCCACGGTCAGAGAGGAGTCACCGGAGGCTTAGTCCATGTGGGGACCTGCAGATAGATTTTGGCCTTCCACTATCATCTGTGCCCTTCTGCAAACTGGTCCGCAATTTCCGATCTGAAACCATTCCTATTTGGACTTGGGTTACATTAGCAAGAATGGGAGGAGCCTGGTGGGGTTTTGGTTACGGATTGGACAGTGATCCACGTGGTCAGGAGTTCAAAACCACTGTCCGCTTCATGGGAGAAAGACTGGGCTTTCTCCTCCTGTAAACAATGACAGTCCCGGAAACCCCCAAGGGTCGCTATGAGTCAGCATTGACTCCAGGGCAGTAAGTTTAGTTTGGGGAAAGCAGGAATATATTGCAAAGTCCCTAAAGCCAAGTTTTTGTGGAACCTTAGATTTGAAGTCATTTTCTAAGGTACAATTTACACACAACAAGGTACACTCACATGCACCTGTGTAAGTATCACTCCCTCACTGCCAGTGAGTGGATGCTGGCTCACAGCAATCCTAGAGAGCAGAGTAGAGGTGCCCCTGGGGGTTTCCAAGGCTGTAATTCTTGATGGGGACATCAAAGCCTCATCTTCCTCCTGTGGCATAGCTGGTGGTTTCAAACTGCTGACTTTGCCATTTCGAGGCCAGTGCATAGCCCAGGGCACCCCCAGGGCCCCTGTGTATATGTCGGACCAAAGCACCAGAGTCAAACTCACTGCCACTGAGTCAATTCCAACTCAGCGATCCCACAGGTCGAGGCAGATCTGCCCCTGTGACTCTCAGAGACTGTGCTGGAGTCAAACGCCCTGCCTTGCTCCTGAGTGTATGTGCATATGTATATCTGTGTCTGTGTCTGTATGTACATGCATTTGTATATCCAGGCCTGCGCATGCACGTAACTCCTGCCACGGAGTTGGTGCTGACTCACAGTAGGACAGGGTAGACCTGCCCCTGGGGGTTCCCGAGACTGTCACTCTTTACGGGAGCTTTAGAAAGCCCTGTCTTTCTCCAGAGCAGCTGGTGGTTTTGAACCGGTGGCCTTGCGGTTGACATCCCAACATGTAACCCACGGTGCTCCCAGGGCCCCAGACGCACTTACACTCACTACACACACTCATGTATTTCAGTTTGAGGGCAAGCCTGCAGAGTGAGCTCATCTTCCATTCTGCAGTTCACATGCTGTCTTTTTCATGGCACTGTC